TTTTTTGTATTGTTTGAGTTGTGTACGGGATTAGTCCCGAATTTTGTACTCTAAAGTATTAGATGGTTTGAGACATCATGTATAAAGTCTAGAAAGTCTTCCGCTTGCTATTATTATCTTTTAATTATGAAATGTTTTCTTGGTAAAGAAAGTTTTAAATTCCTTATGGTTTTAGTGTCTATGCGATGAATGAATGCTAAGAGACTTGTATTAGACCTCTTCGAGGTCGAGTACGCCGGTTACGACTAGGGGGTGCTCCCGGGTCGTGACAGCATGAAGGTGAGAACAATCATTTGTGAAGCGTCTTTTTCCAACAACTTCCAAAAGTTCACTCAGAAATCATTTTGATAGCGACAATCACCTATGGTGTCTTGAACATTGTATTAGAAACATTTGGGTGGAAGACCGCCCTTATTTTATTGTGAATGCTCTCAAGGGAGTTACAAAAACTTCTTGATCCTTATGTCAGCTCACATGTTATTTGTCTCACCTTTTTCTCCTTTTTAGTTCTTGTGAAAACAACATACAATGGGACAAATCTCCACAAGTCAGAAGATATTGTTGTGAAGCTCCTTTTTTTGTGAAGTAATTGGTTTAATCATAGAAGGCATCAAGAAGATGCAGAGATACACAAATAGAGAGTAAGGCTACATGTAGCTGCAAAAAGCAAAAGTGAGACCTTGTTAACTACATTACTTTTGAAGATTATTAACTACTTAAACTAGTTATGTCTCAAATTGCAAATGGGAGTCCTCCTCCTATTAGGGGCTTATCTTTTTTTAACACGTAAGGAAGTCACGTCCCCCCTTTTCGTAATACAAATAAAGGTCTAAAAGAAACTTACTCTTGATGCATCCTCAAACCAATCAATGACCAATGTCTCAAGATCCAATGAGCTCTGTAGAAAGCTGCAAATTCCAGGGAAGTCCAACTGGTCGTCGGCTAATTTAAGGACCAACCAATTCCGGCTTGATGGTGGAGACTGCCACCCTTTCAACTCCAGAATGGACAGGCACTTGTAAACCAAAAAGATAAAGTAGAATATGTCAAAGCATGGAAATATGACATACTTGATAAATGAGATGCAAACCGTTGAATAATTCATAAAAAATAGCTTGGACTATACGACTGTGATTTTCCACATCAAATCATAGTTGGTTTGAAAATCCAAAGACGGACCCTTAAACACTTGGAAAACCCCATAAACACGACTTAAAAGTAAGATCAATGTAAATCAAACCAAATTTTACACATTGTTCTATCAATTGCAAACTCTTTACTCTTGAGTACTTAGCAACTTAGTTATCAAATTATCCTAAGTAGTGACGATATTAATGTTACTATAGTGATGATTCAATAGCAAATAAAAAAAATCATGAATTTTGGATAGTGAAGAGTATGAATAAACCTCGATGCACCAGCTACTCAGTTCAATACACTCGACATGGGCAACACCATGAAGAAGTTCCTTCAAACAGCTAAACTCCTTCTCTAAGTTGCTTTCCTCATCCTTAAAATCAAAATGTAAACGAAGGATAGCATAAACAAGTGAAGAAACATTTCTCTGCACGATGCGTATCTGACTACACAATCCCAGAATTTCCAAATATGCGGGGCTATTATTTCAAGACAAATATCATGATTCTTATCGTAGTACTCTTCTATCGTCAATACTATCATCTTCACAGATCTAATTTCCAGACGTTGTATGCCCGAAACTTTTTGTAATTCCAAGCGTTCCAAGTTAGGGCAACCAGATAATACCTTTTCCATAGCACCATCCGTCAATTCCATGAACCCAATTGAAAGAGAAACCAAATTACTCCAATTAACACTACCACAAGGGTTCAATTGACAATGATTTAAAACCAATGCCTTTAACGACGAATTTTTATACCCAAACTGCGGAAACTCATAATAATGTTGACTTGTAGTAATAAATGAAAGTTTAAATACTTCAACATTTGCAACTTTAGTAGCAAAATGTATCCATAAATCAACATCTGTAGAATAAATCTCGTCATACCTAAGGCTCCCAATATCAAATCTCTTGATTTTCTTGCAAGATTTCCAATAATAAAGCTCTCTATGGACGGAGGCCAGGTAAGCAACAGTATCATTTTGATTTCCACTATAGGGGAAAGTGAAACAGAGTGATAATGGAACGGGCATCCAAAGAAATCGCCATCGTGTAGAGAGTAGGCTGGTTCGCACAACTTGTTTTGCGTCCCACAACTTAGAGAGGAATTGGCTCCGGCAGATCACTCAGCCGGTCTCCTCCTCTGGCCGCCGCCATGATTTTCTTCTGCCTTTCCATGGAGTATAGATGACCTTGGTAATGACAAATTGAAATGGAGTAATTGCGGTTTACCCACAATGATATCCTCAAAACCTGTGCACAAAACTATTAAAAATCCCTTTTCTAAATTTTTAGGATTTAAAAGAGAGTATAAAATTGAAAAAGAAAGAGAAAATGTCTTAAATAAGAAGCAAAATTGATGCATATATATTATCGACGTCTAACAAATTATGCATATATAGTAACGACGTTTAATCTTATACTCCCTCTGTCCCAATTTATATGACTCACTTTCCTTTTTAGTCAGTCCCAAAAAGAATGACACATTTCTATATAAAGTAACAATCTAACTATAAAATATCTATTTTACCCTTAATGAAATGATTTACAGCCACACAAATTTCTATCATTCATTTTGGATCACAAGTTTTAAAAGTCTTCCTTTCTTTCTTAAACTCCGTGTCGAGTCAAAGTACCTCATATAAAATGGGACGGAGGGAGTATCTTATATTACAAATTCCAATGAGAAATCAGGTGATATGCTATTCGACGTCCCAAAATGTGAGAAGTGGAACAATCATCACCCCACAAGAAGACAAGTTTTCCAAGAATACACTAAACATATATCAAACACTTGACACAATACACCTCCAAACGACCAGGTATTATAATTGCTATTGACTACACATCTAAATTTGAGAACATGCATTAAAGTTGCAATTCCACAGAAGTATCTCTGATTTCATCAATTCTAAAACTTGTACTAGAGTTGAAATATATGAAACTTTAATATTGCATTTCAAATTCTTCCAAAGCTGGACAAAACAAAATAAGAATATCATTTTATCTATCAATCTTACACCAACTATTGGTGAAATGTCAGTACCTCACTCGAGGATAGCAAATCAGTCAATTGTCTATTTTTTTAATCTTTTCGTCCATTAAATCGGGCTCACAAGTTCAATTGGACCAACCACACAAGCTCTTTAGCCCTCAGATTAGCATTCAACTATACTATTGGGAGCTGATTAACACCACATTCTTTCGCTGCTTTCCTAATTTGCTTCACCACCATACTTTGCAGCATTTTCATAGGGATTGTGCTTAGATCCCAAGGACATTTATCAGGTGGAACCTGAAGTAGAAACAACAACGTTTTGCAGTACAGAACATAAATCCTGATAACCTTGGAGTCTGACTTGTTTCAGAAAGAGGTTTTGCTATGGGAATTTCACCAGAATTCATATCAAGAGTTTTTACTCTAGAAAACTCATATACTCTGATATCCAACTTAGAACATTCCTTGGTGACTGGCACCCACTAACACTACCCCCTAGACATGACTGGCACCCGCTCACACTACCCCCTAGACATGACTGGGCACCCGCTAACACTACCCCCTAGACATGACTGGCACCCAATCACACTACCCCCTAGACATGACTGGCACCCGCTAACACTACCCCCTAGACATGATTGGCACCCGCTAACACTACCTGTCGGGCGTACCAAATATCCATACAATAAGACCTCTATTAGATTTAAATGAGTTCAAATGTCGGACATGAAAACCCCGAGGAAAGAAGTCATAAGCTATAAATAGATAGAGCTGAAGCACTACCCTCCACGAACAATGCGACAGCTCAACTTGTTTTTTGTCCCACAACTTAGAGAGGATATGGGCATTAGAGTATTGAAAGGATCTTTCCCTAATATGAGAGGATCGGGAAAGATGCACCTCTAATGTACCAATTATCATGCCCACGGTATACGCTGAGTAGCTAAGTGCAGAACGAATAACTGCTTAAAGCATCTAAATAGTAAGCCCACCTTAAAATGAGTGCTCTCCCACTCCAACTTAATTCCCCAGAGATTCATGTAGCACAATCGAGACAGTGACAAGTTCTTTTCCCCTACAGGAATGGAGCGATAGAAGTATTTTTGAGAATTCAAGAGAAGATCACGGTGAGACGAATCGTTTATCATTACATTGGGTGTTTATTATTATGTTGGGTGTCAAATGAAAGTGCAGTGATGTATGCATTGTAACCATAAATTTAACTCAGTTCACCACGTTTAACACCCTTAATTGGGAACTATATTTGGGTGGTCATTGATTAAGTTTGAAATATAATTTTTGGCGAGCTTTGTAGAAAGATCCTATATTCAATTAGACTACTCATTCAATTCATAAACATAATATGATTGTGTATTATACTATTTCCCCAACTATAAATATAATAAATTACAGTTGAAAATAAAATAAAATAAATGAATAAATAATCATTTAAGTTAAGGCACGGATATCTCATTCTCTTTAAGGAGATTCAAACTCACTGCGGCATAATCTACACCGATCCAGCAGTAACACTCTTGACTTGTCCCCTCTAGGATACAACAGTCCAACAACGTCAAACAACTCTAGATTTAGTTGAAGAGTCAAAAGCTCCACATGAGAACAACTTCCTTCAACATATAAATATTCTCTTTTGTATAATGAATATTAGCTAAAGACCTGGAATATTTTTCTTTGTCTCAACTCTCTCTTTCACTATACTAACCTCAATATGAATTTCTCATCCTTTCTTACATTATTTCTCTTCTTACCAATACAAAGTAAGACCACACTATTTATAGGTGAGGAATTCTTTCTTACAACAAATAGGAAGATAATGGGTAGTAAATTGCGTATATGAATAGCCCAAACGTTACCTAAGTTACAGTGTATAATGAGGTAGAATAATGGGTGGAATCAATGGTAGATCATGACAATAGTGGTTATAAGAGTTGCACCAAAATAATAATTACATTTTTGTCAATTTATACCCACTAACATATACACTTAATATTTTAATAGATAAATGGAGAAGAGCTAAACATCAGCTGTACAGTCTCTTGCCACAAACATAGAGGTCTTTAAACTACATGGTGACATAGTAATATGTTTTGTTTTGCTAGTGACTGGTTACTATGGTGAGTCTGCACTGGACTGAAATCGCTGAACCACTTGCAAGAGCCCAGTGGTACACGAATGATCTTCTGATCATTCTTGTTCGAGATTAAAACAAATGATGAGGTCTCTTTGAAACAGGGATGTCCGGCCATTTTTTCAGATTGTTCTTTGACATGCATCAGGGCCATACAAAATACTGCAACGCCAACATCTTCAAACATCTCCATTCAGTAGCATCCTTCATCCATTTCGTTGGCCTTAACTCTAATTAGCTGGTACCTGTCACGAAATGAGTAAATTATTTGGATGAGTACATAACATTATGGAGTTTCAAACTATACTTCAGTTTCCCCCTTCTAACAACAGAAAGTGGACTTGTGCCTTTCAAGAAAGGGAGTAATAGGGTTCAGTTAGGAAGACATCTGGCTCGTGTTGCACACTGGATAACAGATTTTACTTTTTGGTCGGAGTATTACTTCTTCTCAACAATGATGTTCGACTAGACACAAAGCATCAAAAGGGACATGCAACAGGCATTTCCAAATGTTTGTGGATATACAGAAACACCTAATAAATTTCCAAGAAAATTTCTTAGAGAAGCTTTGACTTCAGCTATAAAATAGTTAATGAAGAGCAAACAGATCTTCTATCAGGTGACATGCAATAAATTAGTCAGACAGATCCAAAAAGGAAATACCTGATGATGCTTGTTCCAGAGCTTTCAAGTCCAAGTAAAAGTAGCTTCTGAACCAATGATTTTACTCTGAATAATTTGGAACAGTGGTATAATTGTGAGGTTCATCCCTCTGTCCATGGGGCTGACCATGAGGTACGGGCAACGATAGCAGATAAACCGTCACAAAGACATTGCACATTTGCAAGCTGAAATAAAAGATAAGAATGATCTGTTGAAGGAACAGCTGATGTAGGGAGTTCCATCTTTACAAGAGCCTTAGCTGAATGTAACATATACATATGCACAATTTTTCAAGTAAACCATCTCATATCAGTATCACAATATAGTAATCAACAGTTAGCCCATGTCTTAATTCTATAACATCTTGCCAATGCATGATTTTCTTCAAGTGGCAGGTTCTCAATTTTCCTCAAAAAAATAACACGTCGAAAGAAACAAGCCCATTGAGTCGTAATGAATCAAGAAATACAATTTCTGCAAAATGACATTCAACCTTAGATCAAGCTTTCTTACATGATTATCAAAGAAAAAATACGTTGTGCTTAGACATTAAAAAACTACAAACAGCTATTTTGTATTGGATACTGATAACTAGAATCCAAATCTCGTCTATCAACTATAAACCAATTTCAAACCAAAATTAAAAGGTTGTTATGTATGTCGCGATCACAAAAAAAGAGAATGGCGTAAGATTATCAACAAGGAAAGACAACTGAAGCTTGCGGATAGGATCTTGGAAAGCTTAGGACCTCCTGAAGACATAATTCCAAAACACATCTCTCCCTCTGAATTCGCAAGCAATGCCAAACTTCTTTAGTGCTGTCGCATTCTTGCACAAACATTTGATCAATGGATGTACACACTTATTTTCACTTGGTTTTCCATAAAAGTTAATGAACTTGAAGGTCTTTAGATGTGGCAATGAACAGTTAAAACTATGTGTTTCAAATCTCCTCCGTCGTTCATCCTCATTTGTGTACTTTGACAGCAATTTCTGCAGGAAAAAATCCGATATATTAACCAGTTATTCTCACCTAAGTAGAAAGCAAAGGAGTTGATTGCAGACATATTAAAAAGGTGATAAATTTTGCCAAATCCCCTTTTTGGAAGAGGATAAGCTGTCAAAAGCCCCTCTTTGTAACCTTTTATCATTGTCTATGAAACATAACAGTTTAATGATTTTTTTTTCCCTGAAGCACTAAACATATATCATCTTTCACTAATAGTTTTATATAAATTACATTAAGTAACAAAAATAAAGGTCTAAAAGAAACTTACTCTTGGTTTAGGATGGCGCCAGTCAATGACCAATGTCTCAAGACCTGATGAACTCGATAGAAAGCTGCAAATTCCAGGATAGTCGTACTGTTCTAAGGCTGAGTTAAGTTTTAAGAATCTCCAGCTTGATAGTGGAACAGGCCACCCTTTAAACTCCAGTATGGACAGGCACTTATGAACCAAAT